CTGTTTGGTAAGTTCGTTTTATGTTTATTGTCCTTTTCCTGTATGGCCAATTTTCTTTGTTTTGTAATTTTTCATGTTAAATATTAACGTCTTTCATAAATTTGTTCAGATGAATTTCAAACTTCCAGACCACCTCAGTCTCGGAGGCCAAAAATAGGTAAGTGATAGCTGGCTGCATGTCTGAGCCTGAGATTTTTCCTTTTTAGTTCCTACAAGGAACATATATGCTCATAATAAGTGGATACAAAGTGTCACATTATATTTAGTTATAAGAAGGTTCAAGAGCTTGGCTGGCACACTGGAGGCCACAGTTTGTTTTTCATGTGAATGGTGTTAATGGCGTTAGCAAAACTGTATATGGCGGTGTGTCTGTTTCAACTAGTAATAATCAGAGGTTACAGGAGCTCGCTCGTGTTTTGGTTGTCCGGCTATTTTTTGCTTTAAATCTTTCTAAAGAGCATCGAGGATCAATTATGATGCATCAGCTAAACTTGGGTTTTTCCTGTATTGCTACTCTTTGTCAGAGAACTTGTACGACGTGTTCCTTAACATCAGAGATGACGAAGCTGAACACTGCAAGACGATGAAGGCATGTCAGACGCATGGGACGCTTCGGTCACCTCATTCAAACCCAGAGTATGCTTCGGAAGATGATTTGGGTTGCGTACTTCCTCAGGCAGATTGTGAGGGTATTGTTGATTGTTTAAAGAAATCTGTCGCTTCTTCACAAAACCAAGGCTAGAAATGGGAGCGACAAGCTACAGTTTTAAGGTTTTGTATAGTTATTGTATAAAGAGACGATATAGTGAAAATCATTACAGATGTCCTAGTTAAGATTAATGAATGTCTTGGCAACCCCTTTTCATTATTTTGCACTGTATCTTTGTGATATTGTAGGTTCTTCATTTTTGTCAAAGATACAGTGTGCTCCTGGATTCGTGTAAGCCCTCATGCATTACTCTTCGGCCTCTTTTCGTTCGCCATGAGCAATCCGGCAGTCCAATTCAGGGTTGAACTAATTGAGGGCTAAAAAGGTTTCTTGGCGATTTTTCAATTATCTCGCACTTTTTGCTGATGCAATCAATCCTTCCCTTCGAATGCACCGTTAAAAGTATTAAGTTGCTGATAATTTTGAACGCGAATGACAAGGTAAGTGAGAATGTGTTTGAGGAACAATCGGTGAAGTTTTGAACTTATGTTTGGAATTACTTTCCCTTCACATATTCGGGATTTATTTTCTTGTTAGCACAATATCCTTCAACGGGAGATGTAGAAGTATATCAAGCTCTAGATTCATTTCACATCCCATGGCTTTCACAGTTATGGTCTAAGTTTGGATCTACTTAGTTGAATTGAACAGGTCAAGATATGGTGCATAAAGTAGGAAGCAAGTGTTCTTAGCACTTACATGAAAGCAAATATTTGTTCTGTCAAGTGGCATCTACTATCTAGCACTCATGTTACGGTGTGTATCTGCTTTTCTCTGTCTATGAATTAACCAATGGATAAACCCCCTTTAGGACATGAAATTCTAGACAGATGAACAAGCCTTGTGCATATTTCAGTTAAGTTTAGCTTGTTCTCCACAGGTCAGACATATGTGCCATCATCGTAGATCGTCGGAGATGTTGATGATGGCTCATCTCTCATCGACATATTGTCGGTGTTTCTACACAGGCTGTCGCCTATCCCGCTGCTTATCATCGGTTTGCTTCTTCTGACAGGAATGAGACCAATGAGGATGCAAGTTCATATTTTATTTGTGCCGTAGTCGGAAGAACAATAGCCCGGCTGCGAGCAGTCAAGGAACGATCAAGGTACTCATCTTTGCATCCAAAATGGTCAGCTTAACAAAGAAAATAATAGGATTGAAGCATGAAGGTTGCGCATCTATGTGTAAGCTGAACTGTTAGGCATCAGATAACGCTGGAACCTGATTTTAACGTTCGTCTCTACCTTCTATTTTGAAGCAAAAGAATTGTTTCTAGCTTCCAAAACTGTTCCAGTTAATCATCATCATAAGCGAAGCGATGGGCTCGACTATGGGCCGGGCCGGTCCGGGCCAAAATCCGATGGAGCCCCGCAGTACTTCCTTGTCTGTCGTCTCCATCCGCGACTTCGCGGTGTTTGTGCTCTCAATCCGATCGCGCAGTGTATTAGCAGTTCGATTTCAGGAAGATGAAGAAGCAAACAGTAGCATACGCGAGCCGACCGTCGAGTCGCCAAATCTCCCCCGCTCGACTATCATCCCGCCTCGCAGAGTTCTACCATATGATCGCGATCCTACCCGGGTCTGAAAATTTCTCCGGCACTTCGGCATCACGAGCCATGTCCCGGACATTTTTCGGTGTCCTATCGGAGCGAACTCTTGTAGGAAAAAAGCGAGGACACCTTTTGGAAAAGGAAGGTGTCGGACCGTGCAACTTTGTGATTCACCACGGATCATCTTTCCTTTCGCTGTCGAACTTTGTTGCCTACGTTATCATCCACCAAAAGGTAGAAAAACACACCACGCCACGATCACTTCGACAGGTCGCAATCGTCCACCTGCTTCACGATATAAAACAAACCATTACCAAAGCCGCTTTCCGAGTGAAGGCAGGCCTCATAGACACGGAAAAAGGGGCCGCGAAGTGTTTGTCGCCATGCGCGATTCACGTTCGAAAGTATATACTTCGCGCGATTCGCGTTCGAAAGTAGCTCCAAAGGTACAACCATACCGCAGGAAATTACCAAGAAAGTTCTAACCCAACTATATTTATATCAGTTCGGTCATAAATCTTTTAATTTAGCTAATTTAGTCATAAATTTTTTGACGATTTATTAATTTAGTACATCCGGCCAAAATTAAATTCCTAACGTGAACGTCAGCTACCTTACGTGACATGACTGGTGCTGACGTGAATAAATTTTTAAAAATTTATCCAAATTTTTCTCTTTTTCTTTCTTTCTTTCTCTTTCCCTTTTCTCTTTGCCAGTAACCGGTAGCTGGCCACTAGCCACTGGCCAGGGCAAGGGCCACCCTCGCCAGATTTGGCGAGATCAACCCTCGCCCAAGCAACGCCGCGAGTCCCATGGCCAATGACCAGCCACCGGTGAAAAGAAAAGGAAAAAAAATTCAAAAAATTATTAAAAAGTTGTAAAAATTGTCTATATCAACGCTGGTCATGCCACGTAGGATGGCCAGCGTATTTAGCAGCGATTTATGATTAAAGTTGGCCGAATGGTCTATATTGGCAAATCATCAAAAGGTTTATGACTTAATTGGCCAAATTGAAAGGTTTAGTACTAAATTGACACAAATATAATAGATTTGTGACTTTCTTAGTAATTTCCCCACCATACAGCGGTAATTCGCCTTCCGAACGCCAGACTTTACTAGCACGGCCAAATTATCCTCGTCAACGCTCATGCACGTCACGAAGTTGGAAGATGAGCTAGGAACTTTCGCAACTGCAGACGTGGTACCCCTTTGCCCAACGAACAGCCTCGGCCTGGATCGAGCAGTATCAACGGATGCAAATAGCTGAAAGAGGGATTTTACGCTCTCTCCATGATAATGATTGTTCTTTATGTCGACCCAACAAAATTGAACCAAACCTAACCGAACCACTTCGAAAATCAATCAACCGACCGAAAAACCGTTCGAGGTTTGGATCGATTTGGTCCGGTTCAATTCCATTCCGAGCTTTTCGGTTCAGCCTTATCGGTTCGGTTCGGTGCCGAAACCAAACCAGAGTTTGGAAATTCAGCTCTCAAACTCCACTTTCAAAGCAGCCACGAACGATATATTAAAATTTTGGCAGACCAGCCTTGATTTGTCTAGTGCGCCACTTTCGTCCCGCCCTCATCAAATCGACATCCTAATAATATAAGAAGACTAGTCTCTCCACCTGTCAAAGTTCAATTGGGATTAAGTTACCAATTTCCCAAAGTTTCTAGGGACTGTCGATTCGGACCATTTCACTGTTCATCATCGCATTATCCGTCACGTAAAGTTTAGGACCAAAAAAAAAAAAAGAGTTCAGGACAAATTTATGCCCCAGATCAGAGATTCGCTCACAACAAAAGGACAAAATAATTGTGAACAGGGATGTACAAAGAAACTAGGAACCGTCCAGATCGCTCGAAATCGGACTGAACCGATCCGAAATTGGCAGTTCATGTGGGGGTCGGTCCGATTCCCGATTCCCAGTTTCAATTTACTAGGATCGGTGAGTATAAGTCCAGTTCCCAGTTATAGGCGTGGAACCGCCCATCCGGACCGGACTGGAATATATATAATTTTTAAGAAAAATTTCCAGCCAAAAAAGAAAAGAAAACATTTTAAGAAAAATGAAAATCCTAAAATCTCTAATTTAAAGCTCAACGCCCATCAACTAAGTGCTCGTCTCGTCGCACTCTCACTTTGTTTGAATTGTCTCTCTATATCTTATTCATGGTATCGACTTTTAAGCTCAACGCCCATCAACTCAAGGCCTCGACTCTTAACTCTCATCAATTCACGGCCGTGCCTCCGGCCGTTTATCGTCTTCCTCTCGCTCTCGATCACCTCAATTTGCGTGAAACTTAACGGGACCGGTTCCATGGAACCAATGGGCAGTTCCCGATTCCAATTTTTCGAAACCGGTCCTTAGTGGGCGGTTCCTGGTTCTATGGTAGGAATTGCCCACCCGGACCATGCCCGCCCCTAATTGTGAATGCTCGACTCGTGTCGGGTTTCCGGGTTTCCGGTTTGATAAAGCTTGCTAGAAAGTTGAGCTTCAAATTAAATGTCCAAAAGCCGAGAACCACCCATGCGGACCATGCTCACCCCTAATCGTGAATACTCGAACTATGCCGGGTTTTCAGGTTTCCAGTTAGATAAAGCTTGCCGGAAGCTCGAGCTGCAAATTAAATGTCCAAAAGGACGTAATAATTGTGAATGCTCGACCCGTGTCGGGTTTCCGGGTTTCCCAATTTTAGGAAAATTTTGGGACACTTCCCTCCTTCGTTTTTTGCCTTGCCGTCCACGGCGAAAGCGCGACGAGAGTCTTCTTCGCCAAAGTCAACAACAGATCAGACCCCACAAAAGGAGCTTTTCCGCCTTTGAAATCCCTTAATCCCACCTTTCTCCGTACGAAGATCCCGATCCCGATCCCGATCCCGCCGGAATCGGATCCCCGGCGATCATCTTCCCCCCTCGATTCCTCCGGTTTTTTGGAATTTCTTTTGGGCGCGAAATGCCCATGACGCTCGACGGCGGCGGGGCGCCGCCGGAGGGCGTCGGCGGGAGGCCCTCGCCGGCGAACGGGGCGGAGGGGGAGAGGGACGGGGACGAGCTGTTCGTGCCCCCGCTGAACTTCGCGATGGTCGACGGCGGCGTGTTCAGGTCCGGCTTCCCCGACGGCGCCAACTTCGGGTTCTTGCAGTCGCTCGGGCTCCGGTCGGTCATGTGAGTGCGACGTCGCCGGGGCTGGGGGGGCCCTGTTTTCTCGGCGCGGCTCGCTCAGCGGAACTGGGGTTTCCCCTCGCGTGTGCGTGTGAGTGTGCGTGTGCGTGTGTCCTGAATGTGGCTGATTGTGGTTGTGGGTTTATGGGATTGTGCAGATATTTGTGCCCCGAGCCTTATCCGGAGGCGACTGACGAGTTCCTGAAGGCCAATGGGATTCGGCTTTTCCAGTTCGGGATCGATGGGTGCAAGGTAATGCTCTGGAATGGCCTTCATTTTTCCTTTCTCAGATGACAGTGACGTAGCGAGTGGCCATGGAGTTGTTGGAATTGGAATTCAACTGTTGATGTAAATTAGCAATTGGGGATATAAGTTCTAACCCTTGGAATCTGTAGTTGCTGATGATAAATGGCTTCTTTTGTATCAACTGTGTATAGGATTCTTAAACAGGTCTAGCAAAGTGATATCGCGATTTTGGAGATACCCTTTTTCCTGTTTTCGAATGACTGTGATGAAGTTTGGTCACTTGATGCCATGCTAATTATATGCTTCAAATTTCTATTTTTAAATGATGTGGCCTGTGGGTTTTTTGCAAATGAATTAGCTGCAGAGTCTTCTTAATGCTTCTGCTTGCATGTTGCATGGAGTAAGCACAGTCTAACCTTCACTTAATGTGGTTTACTATCATATACTATCTTATGCCATGTTAGAGGCTATTTTTTAAGCATTAGCTCCTTTTGTCCTTGACCTGTGTTCGTACAGAAAATAATCTACTCGTTACTGTTTACTCACATGATCATGTGCTGCGAAATCAACCTTTTAAGATAGGGCAGGTACGGGACAATTTATATTATCCCACATATCTCTATGCAAAAAGAGAAGGGTAAACAGCAGAGATGACAACAAAATACTTTATCTGCGAATCATCCTGCCTCCAGTGAAGCTGCCAAAGAATAAACTGTCCATCCAGACTATTCAAAGATGGATGCTGGGCTAATTGTTGGTAGCCTCAGCTTTACGGAGACTGCAATTCTTTTGATGTATCAAGGTCAAGAATGCTGGCCTTAAGCATATTTGAAGTGGTGTGCTTTCATAAGAAACCAGTAATGCTCGTTTTCTCGCACCTAGGACCCTTTGAGTGCATCTGATAGCTGCGGTGTCATGCTTTAGCGGATCTTACTGGTCATAGAAACCTAATCAATCTTCTTGCAAGACAATGATAATCCTGCTCTTTCTTGCCTAGTATTTTCCTAAAATGTCCCGTGACTTGTGATTTGCTGCTAGGCATTCGAATCCAGGTCAAGTTGATGCATTGATGTCAGAAGTATACTCACAGACTCGAGAGAATACGAATTCAGTTGCTCCAATTGCTATCCGTAATTTGCACTCACTTGGGGCGCGAACAATCTCTTTTAGTGGCAGATACACATGGCTTTCCTGTGTTTTTATTTATGGATGAACTTGCTTTTTATGAGTCCTTTGCAAACCAGCTGCAACTACAGATGGTGCTTATATTAGGTTAAACCACCCCCCGCCATGGGTCCTCACTATTGTCGAGAATCTGAGCTGTGCAACCATCTGCTTAACAGGTGGACAAGATTAGATAATCATCAGATAAATGGAAGTTGCAGCATTGCAGGGTATTGAGAAATCGGACAGTGATTATTATGGTTTGTAACAAGCTATTAATCTAAGAGAACTGAAGAAATGTAACTAGGGGGTATTCCCCTATTAAACTTTTAATTTCTGGTCGGATAGTGAGGCATGTTACTGCATTTTGGTTCCTCTTGTAGCAGATTCACTCTGCTTCGTTTATTGAATCAATAAAACTCTCTTGCTCCAGAAAAAAAAATAAAAAATAAAAATTTAACAACAACACTTTTGCTGAATCGACAATGTGATATGTGCATTATATGCCTTCATGTTTTTCTTTTTAATGTCAACAATATCCTTTAATTCCTCGTGAGATGATCAGATTATAGAATATACATGGTTGTATTAGAAAAATTATATTTTATTGCAAAAAATGATATATTTGGTCAAAGATTGTCCTAACATACGGTAACAGTTCCTGTAATTGATCAGTTTTACTCTGTACAGGAGCCTTTCGTCAATATTCCAGAGGAAGCAATCCGTGAAGCGCTGAAAGCACTTCTTGGTATAGTTCAATATGAGATGTGACTTCACATTATGTGTGGTTAGCTTGCTTGATAGACAATTGCTCAAGTATATGGTTCTGGCGTTGTGATTGCAGATGTAAGGAACCACCCTGTCTTAATCCACTGCAAACGTGGGAAGGTAACCCTTCATTTCCTATTTACCAATCATTTTCTTGAAGATCAAGGTATACCCCAATGTTGACCAACAATCTGCTCATCGATGCCTAGCAGCACCGAACCGGTTGTCTTGTGGGATGCTTTAGAAAGTTACAGAGGTGGTGTCTGTCTTCTATCTTTGATGAGTACCAGAGGTTTGCGGGCACGAAAGCTAGAGTATCGGATCAGAGATTTATAGAGTTGTTCGATATTTCGAGCTTGAAGCACTCGCCAATGTCATTTTCTTGTTTAAAAAGATGACATTGATAGTTCCAGCTGTTGCTGCCGACTACCAAGGGTCCAAAAGGAGCGTCCGAGATATTGAAGTCGAGTCACAGTATGTTTTCTATCTTTAACGCTTTAACACCGTCTTGAGGGTAGAGTAGTATGCAAAGTAGATGATTCTAACTTTTGGGGACTATCGTGTGGATATCCGAGAGTAGAACGGGGTGCAAAGCAAATGTCGTTCTTCGCTACTGCTGTCTGCATATTATCTTTTCCGTTTGTTCGTCAGAGTTACTGAGTATATTAGTCGATATCTCAGCTTCTCTTTTCGACAAGAGATCGTGGAGTTAGCTGGGTTAGTTGGACATTTCGCGCTGTGTGGTAGCACTTGCCAATCTCACTTTCTTTGCTGGAAAAGACGGACAAATCCGGCCAATTTTCAATCCGTCACTAGCAACCACCGCGGTATAAAAAAAAGGAGCAGCATACCTGTTGTCGTCGTCTTTTGGGGTTAGAATAGAGATGCAGAGTAAGATGTTCATTACCTGGATGAGTGCGTGGAAGAACCTCTGAGAGCAGTATACTGGTGTTCCCTGCTGTAGTTTTTTGTTCTTCTCTGCAAGTGTGGCATCCGAATCTTTCACTTCACTCGATCCCTTTTCGATTCGATCGCCATGTCGTGTCCACACGCGCATCAGGTAAAGCTCTCTACTCGTGGGGGGGCGGGCGGGCGGGCGGCGAATGCGACCCCCGCTACGCGTATATGAGTGGCGTCGTCATGATTCGAGTCGCAAGTGTCTCTCCCTTTTCCATGAGATGCTTCTTTTTATATGTTTGTTGGAAGAGCCACTCTGTAGAGAGATTAGACATTAGTGGGGATCCTCCCCCCTTCTCAGCATTTTGCTCTTTTCCCCAGTGGTGGACTGGCCCTCTTTTCCCATGTCGCCATTTCCCGGTGGATCTGCACTACCCGAGCACGTGATCCCACGTGGTGGTCACGTGCCTCCCGGTTCGCTCTGTGCTGCTTGGGCCACAATCGCCCGGCGAATCTCGCTGCTGACCGGGCTGCACTTGGTCGAGATCTGGTCCGGTCTCGATGCGTCAGGGACCGTGCATCGTGCAGTTAAAGTATTCAGAATCTTGCGAAGTTGTGTGTTTTTTTTCAACTTTGTAAGTTAGCATTATTGCCTTTTGACTCATGCGAGAACATAATAGAAAGATGCCTTGCGGGGCCCGGAGATAAGGTTCTCTGTGGCGACAAAATTTGGTGGGGACTGCGACCATTACCAACCGCCCGGTCCCCCCTCAATGCTTTTTACCTAAACGTCGTCGTTATTGTCAAGATAATTAAGCACGGAATCACGCCGTCATCTAACATCTTCTTTTAAAAAAAATTTCAGTCGGACCTGTTGGCACATCACCTAACGGTTTTTTCATTCGGCGTAACTTTTAAATTGCCGGCCCCTCGGATCTTCGACGGAGAGCACGATTAGCCGCCCGATCAAAGGGTTTGGGCCCTCGTCTCCCGGGGCGGCGGGCGGCCATAATGGTCAAGAGAAATCTAATTTATACACAGATCTACACTAATAATGTATTCTTTTCGGACAGTGTACGTATTCGATGCGTTTGGGGGGCGGTTCCATTATTCCTTCACTTTTGCAGCATCAGAATAATGCTTTCCAAAGGTCGATAATTTCGGATCGCCCTTTGAAATCCGCCCATTGTTTCGTCGCTCTTTCTTTGCGTCGCTCTTTCCTTTTGATCCCAAAAAAAAGTGGTAGATCTGACTCGCAGCGCTGTCCTTTTTAAACTCGAAAAAAAACAAGAAAAGGGCAATCCATCGATGTAACTTCCGCTCTACGAAATGTTGAGATTGATATGGAATTATTCGATATCGCTTGTTATCTACGGATTCTAAATTGATTGGCCCGTCACTTGAAACCATATCGTAATGTTGAAGGTTCGAAGTTTATTTACTCATATGCCACGCTAAATCCGATCTCTTTTAATATATATATACACACGTATAAACATATGCATATACGTATATACGTATATATAGGAAGCGATTTCGGTTTCGAAATCTAGCGTTTTATAGCTTTCAAAGTTGTTGCCGCCTATGCCACCAGTGCTTGTTGTCTAATAAATGGAAAAGGTTCTTTCAAGACACCCGTGACAGCTATTTGGCGAAAATAACAAGGCAGATGTTAGTGTTTTTTTTTTCGTACAGGAAAAGCGACACAAATAATCCGTGAATGTCAGCTCGATATGCAATATTATCTCCGGACTTTTAATTTATTCAGTGTGGTCCATGAACTTTTAGTATATATTCAATTCAGTCACGGACTATATGAAAATGTTCAATGTTTTCCCCGAACTTAAATTTACGGAAGGATAGCATTCTATATTATCATGTAATCTATGGATTGGTTTGTGAAAATTTGCCAAAAGTTCAGGGACAACATTGAATATTGAGCCAATGTTCCTATGTCACCATCCTTTTTGTATATGATAACTACGTTTTACTCAAATAATCATAAATTTTCAAACGTTTTGGGTGATGCCAACTTGAGTTGATAGCGGCATTTTCCCTTGACCATCAAGAGATAAATACCTTTCGGTACACGTGACAAAAACATAGAATACGATCCCCAAAAAAAAAAAAATAAACTTTGGGCGGCGAGATTAGTTGCGCTCCTCGACTATCGTCTAAAATTAATAATTACACGAGACCATCCAGATACGATAATTAAGTAATCGATAATACGGGAAAATATATACATAGATATATATTCGCGGAAAACGGTATATTATATTATACAATGGCTCTCTATCTAACTTGAGGACTAATAGTCAAAAAAGGAAAACTAATTTAAGACGGTGTCGGGTCAACATGAAATTAAGAAAAACTAAGCAAGCATTAGGTGTCTAAATAGAATTGTAGAAGATGGACCATGCCCTAATTTTCTTAGATTAATGGTCAAATTCTCGTTCACAGCTCAAACCTAACGTTCCAATGTAGGAGGCGGCGGAGACATAGAGATAGAGAGGGGGGAAACGAGGGCTGGGGCCCACTTCTTCGATTATCCCTAAGTTTAATCAGCGCCCGTTGCGCATGGGCCACGCACACATCGCCATGCGTCGCATAAAAAAAAAAAAATACCCTAAATTTGAATGGTCTGGATCTCAAACTAGTATACCCGCGACAGATTTTCCAAGGTGTCGGGACAAAATAGCCGCAAAAATTAGGGATTTTGGCAGATTTTCCGGCCTCATTTCAGGGATTTTTTTTAGATCTGGCTTTTTCAAAAATGCTGTCATATAGGGACTCGTTTATTTCGAATTGCCACGTTGAATCCACCTCACATCCCGACCGCCCTAGGGGTTTGCTGGTAAACTTGTCGAAATGGATTATAGATTCATTTGTTAACCCATATTTGATTAGCCGAGTTGTTGTATGGATTAGTAATATTCAGTAAATGGGTTTAGAATAGTAAATGCCGAAATAATGTGAGTCTTAAATGGGTTCGCAAATCCAACTCACCTCTATGACTCTATCTTCATTCTCTCTCGCTCTCACTCGATCTCGTGTTAGCTCACCTTAGTTTGTCTCGACATGATCGATATGACGGACGGACGACGGAACGAGCAATTGTTACAAAAGATCAAACGATCATATTGAATTGTCCAACACGTCACCCGATCTAAACCCGATCTGACCGCCGTTCGACGGGTCAACTTGACTGCATGGGTTCACGTCGGCAATTTAACGGAGATATTCCGAACAGAGCCGACGACGGAGGGGCCAAATTTGTAGCGAATTTTCCCGGTTCGGGACCAATTTTTCGTAGGTGACCGGTTCGCAATTTTTCGTGGCCCGGAAAAAATCCTGGAGCGCGCGGTTCGAGAATTTCCTTTTTCTCGTGGCACCAAAAGTTAAAAAAAAAGAAAAGGAAGAAAAAGGAAAAAGGAAAAAAAGAAAAAAATAAAAAAAGAAAAAAAGGAAAAAGAGTGGGGCGTGAAAACCCTAGACGGATGCATGACAGCTGTCGCGCAAAAACAATATATAATCAATGCCCCGCTTCGGGTGCTCCGTCGCCTTCTCCGCACCCCACACGTCGCCATTTTCTCTCTCTATCTCTATCTCTGTACCCTCCTCTGTAAGCAAGAAGGAAGAAGAAGAAGAAGAAGAAGGAGACGAAGAAGGAAGCAGAAGGAAGGAAGAAGAAGAAGGGAAGAAGTTGAGCTCAAGCTCGCGCTGATGATGCTCCCTTTTCCCCCCTCCCGACGATTCTCTCGAATCGAACCTGATCCCTTCCAGATCGCGTTGAATCGGATTCGCCCGGGGAAAAGGGGGTTTGCGTTTTCCTCTCCATCTCTATCTTCTCCGTCGCCGTCCGTCCGGTCCGGTCCGGTCCGTCAGTCCTCGAACTGCAAGAGCGGGCGAGGGTTTTGGGGGGGTGCGAAATGGCGGGGCTTCCGGTGGAGCTGATCACCGAGATACTGGACCGGCTGCCGGTGAGGTCGCTGCTGCGTTTCCGGTGCGTGTCCAAGCGGTGGCGCGGCATGATAGACAGCCCCGGGTTCGTGAGGTCGCACCTCTGCCGCTCCGTCGAGTCCAGCACCAACCTCAGCCTCTTCCTCCGCCACTCCTCCAGCCTCTACTGGATCGATCTGGGGTCCCTGCGACGCGTGGAGGAGACGAACTACCCGCTCATGTGCTACAGCGACCAGATCAAGGTGCTCGGGTCCTGCAACGGCCTGCTCTGCATCTCCAACGCCGCCGACGACGTCGTCATATGGAACCCCTCCACCCGGCGGCACAAGTTCCTGCCGTACTCGGCCGTCGAGGTGCGACGCGCGTCGGTCTTCTCCGTTTGCGTTTACGGGTTCGGGTACGACGATAGGAGCGATGACTACGTGCTGTTGAGGCTGGTCCAGCTCGTGACCGAGCCGATCGAGTCCGAGGTTAGTATCTACAGTTTGAAAGATAACGCGTGGAGGCGGCTCCGCGACATGCCGTACTCTCTGGTTTATCCCCGCAAAATGGGGGTTTTCGCGTGCGGCCGCCTGCATTGGATCATGACCCGGGAGCTGGTGTCGGATTCGGCAAACTTGCTGGTGGCTTTTGATTTCTGTGTTGAGGATTTTAAGGTGGTGGACCAGCCTGAGGTTATAGATAATAAGCTTGACATGGATGTGGCCGTCCTGGGAGGGTGTCTTTGCCTTAGCATCAATGATAGTCACATGGGTGTCGATGTGTGGATCATGAAAGAATATGGATTGAAAGAATCATGGGCTAAGCTGTTCTCCATACCTCAATCTGAAGTCTCGAGGTCTCTTGGATTTGTCCGGCCATTGGCTTTCTCCCATAATGGTCGTCAAGTTTTGGTGAGACAGGACAGCAAGAATCTGGTTTGGTATGATTTAGAGACTAAGTGTGTCAACAAGGTCGATATAAGCGGCATGCCGAGTTCCTTTGAAGCAGAAATTTGTTTCACAACCCTTGTTTCGGTCGATGATTATGGAGGAGTCACCAAGAAGAAGCAGCAAGAATTAGAAGATAAGGAGAATAGGAGCAAGAGGTAAGTACTTTGTGAAAATTAGCAAGTTCTTTTGTGTTGGACTGTCTCAGATTCTTCATGGACAGACCTTAAATGACCTGGTTGGTGGAGCGGATTGCTTGTACTGCTCCCTCCCTCTTGCATGTTTGTGAAAAACGTGAAGTGAAAGAAACTTTTCCACGGCTTTTGGGACGGAACAAGGAAACCGATACGAAAATGATGCATGTCCTGCTTAAAGGATAGTTCTTTCTAGAGGAAGAAGAGTTGTTCGGTTGATGCAACGGATGATCGGATCCTCTCTTTTTCTGGACGGGAGAACTTTCGGGTAGTCAAGGAGACTACTAAAGTGGTTTTGTGATCTAATTAATTTGAAAATATGGACAAAGAATAGAGGAGATGATTGATGACTAAGGGGATCTAATGTGGGAATTGGGAACTTGGAATTGAAGACTACTTGCCAGATTATGTTTCACTAAACCAAACGGCCATGCGTACTCCTTTATTTTTTTTTATCCATATTTTTACTGATAAAAGAAATAAAATAAAACAGTTTGAAAGGAGAATCCATTTTATAGAAGAGGAGTCTATGCATATGAGGAAAACACATTCACTAAAGTTTCAGTTGAAACAATAGGTTAGAGAACATCTATTTAAGAGCTAAGACAGCCACAAAAAGAGATGTGTGTTAGTTATTCTGATTACATTCCATCCATCGTACCATTATGGTTGCTTAATGACAGATTGAATTGTCAGTCTGCTTAGTCTAGTAGTGGGGAACTCACAGCTGCCAGTAGCTTCACTGTTATATAGAAACTGCAACAAAATGTCTCTGGTACATATTTTGGTGACTTGGCTTACTCATACCTCTCATCTTTACTACTGTTATTGATTGTTTAGTTGATTCGAAACTGCCTTCCTCCTGTCTAGGGATGACTTCCTCTCAGTGGGTTTCAAGCTTGTTCTTTGAGCTAATGGGGGCATTGTTGTGCAACGGCGGTGAGTTATCTCGATGAACTGTGATTACTCTGATAAGTGATTTTGCTTAACAAATTTTGTCGAGCATGATATTTTATAAAGTAGTACTTTAATTGAGAAAATATAGCTCCATTCGGATTGTCGATTTTTAAACCAAAACCGTCTTGTTTTGGGGGGAGGCAAACATTTATTGTATCTAAGTAACGTACTTAAGCATCATATAGTGTTTTTCTTTTCTAGATAAACCGTCTTATGGTGACACATGCTGTCTTTGTCCCATTGGTATGACATGGTCATGGAGGAATAAAACGTGAGCAGAAGTAAGAGCTAACTAGTATGACGGAGTTCGACCAAAAAAAAAAGAAATTGTACGGCGGAGATCTTGAAGGGTTTTATTAGCGAGTTTCCCCGTCATTTGTTTATGCCCTCGATCTTTCACCTTTTATTATACTTTTTAACTTGCTATATATTCTGTGTTTTATATTGTTTAATTTGATACTTTCATGTTTGTCTGATGTCGTTGATGCATCTTTACCATACTTGTGTTGAAACAATGTCAGTGTCAGTGGCTTTTTGTTTCTGAACTTCTTTAAGATGCTGATTTAGGGCCTATTTGGTAACACTTCTATTTTTTGTTCTTTTGTTTCCTGGAACTGAAAAAGAACGGAAATCCGTTTGGTAAGTGGCTAGGGAATAGATTTGGAACAGAAATAAAAAGTAAAAAAAATTTATTTTATTGTTCTCGGGAACAAAATTTGAAACAAGGTCACCGGCCAGAAATAAGGGCCGACGAGGTGGGCAAGGCCAACCTCGCCGTTGCCGGGCGAAACCCACCTTGCGGTGGTTCGGCGAGGTCGAGCCTCACCGGTGGCTGCGCGAGGCTCGACCTTGCGATGGCTGGGCGAGGTTGGCTTTGCCCGGCCATGGCGAGCCGACCTCGAACTCGCACAGCCATGACGAGGCCGACCTCTACAAAATTATTAAAGAACTAAAAAAATTCCTCATCACAATTTTTTTTACGATCGTACCAAACGCATTTATGTTTTTTTCCTATTTTGAGAATAGAAATTTTGTGCAGTTATAATATGCGTTCTTCTGCTCAGAAACTCGTTCAGAGAATAGAAATAGAAAAAACTATTTCTGAAAAGAAATTGTTCCCGGAACAGAAATGTTACCAAACGTACCCTAAATTATTACTTCTAATAGAGTGTTGCATTTAGTAGTTCTTAAAACTTTCAGCGTAAGAGATTTGTTTTCCCTCCCAATTCATGATAAATCCTATGCGTGTAAGATTGTCCTTTAATAGTGAAAAACATATTTGAAAAACAATTGATAAATGCTTCTGTGTGCCCAAGGCCTTGCCATGACTGCCAATTGGTTTTTCCAGGTGCTGCATACTACTCAGCGAAGGAAATGCAATAGGAGAAGTAGAGATGTATGCCTCAGTATTTAGATTCATGGCTCAAATTTCTACGATATGGACCGACGTATCATCGCGAAAGGTATGGCGAAAAAAAATGGATGGATAAAAAATAACTATCCGACCTGCGCAACTTATTTCAGCCAGTAAGTAGGGAATGCTTTTTTCTTTCCACGAAGAACAAACTGCTGAAAACTCCTGTCAACAGAAGTAACACAAAGAAGAACTAATTAGCACAAGTAAGGAAACCTACTATCTGACATGCCTGCCGACAAGAACCATACAACTTGAAATTCAAGCTACGGATTGCGATATTTCTTGAATATGGCATAATAAGTCTACCCCGTTGATCTGCTCCTTCAAGTCCTTACCCGTGCTTCAATTTGCCCATGGCCAACAACACCTTGGTGAGATTTTCGTCGAAGGAGGACATGACATCCGTCAATTGAGTTCTCTTGGCACAAGACTCTTCTCGACCCTTTTCTCTGACAATAGCAATAGTGGTAACATCTGATTTCAACTTTCTCTCAACCGCTAGGTATGCATTACCAACTCTCTCAACCACACCCTCTACAACTTGATCTAATACCATTTGTCACGGGCAGACAATTTGAGATCGTGAATTGTGCGGCAGTCAGGCTCTGAATGACTCGTTCACCCCTTACTATAGTTGTCGAAGCTCGGCCTTCCCCTGAAATTTTGCTCACTCGCTCACTTGGCCCATCTCGAATTGTACAGAGAAACTTTAGAGAGACGAGTGTTTATACTTGAAGTGATAGTTACCATCTGAAATTCGAACCAGCTAGCTTGCCTTTGACATCATTATCGGACACCTCTGTGAAAAATTGATGTTCAAGAACCCTGCAAGGATGTGATACTGGAGGAGGAGAATGTGACACTTGGATTCTGCAACATTCTCCCAAGAATACTTGAATGTCCTCAATTGAAAATTACAGTTGACTGCAGTAGTGGCAAGGTTTGGGGTTACAAACATGCTTCAAATGGATGGATTATAGTTTCCTCCTGAAAGAATTTTGGTAAATACCGATTGTCACAAGTTGATGTAAAATGGATGAGCAGAGCCCTCTTCTAAAAATGACGATTTTGTGGAACCCGAGAGCGATCACGATCAGTGGAGGAAAGGTTCCATTCATGCTAATAGCATATGCTTGCAGGCTTTTATTGATCAAAGTGCTAAAATAAAAATAAGCTGCTCTAATGTTTGTCTTCCAAGAGGAAAAGGTGACTGGTAAGCTTTTTGGAGAGAAGCATGGGTAACGATAGCGTATGATACTGGTTCTAGCAGCTGAAGAAGCTTTGTATTGATTCTAGTATCTTCTATGAGACATCATTTGGTATCTGGTCAGAGTTATAGACCAAATAAAATTAGTGGGAGAGGGAGGATTCCTACATCTGGTTTGAAAAGTGACTGCTGAGTGTTGCCTTCTTGGTTTGTTATGCTAGGAAGTTTGCTTTTGCTGCAGTTTAATGGCAATGTACCACACATGAAGGTTGCTGTGGCCATTTTTTCTGATAGTGCCTGGAACACTATTAGAACGGAGCATCTATCGTTGCCCGGCCATGCTAATCTAGTTCAATCCAAATCCATGTGAAGCATTGTTCTATAACAAGCTCAGTTAAAAATTCCATACCCAATGGGTTGAGTGCACTCCGATTGCCTGAGAGTGAGGAATGTCGTGCAATGTTGTTGATTAATGGGAGGGTTTTTTTCTGACGAATGGGGAGTCAGTTCTTCTCCAAGGAAACAGTCCCCTCATAAAGCATTGTTCTATTACAAGTGTTAAACAGTACATACCCAATGGGTTGAAGGCATTCTAATTGCCCGAGAATGAGGAATGTTGTGCACTGTTGTTGATTAATGGGAGAGTTTCTTCTGACGAATCGGGAGTCAGTTCTTCTCCAAGGAAAGTGTCCCCTTATGAATTCAACTTTTGAGGGATCTTTCTTTTGCTGCCGAGTAAAGCAAGGAGCTTGTTTTGCCAGGTGATGCTTCCGAGCCATCATCTTTTAAGCAATCATTATATCCCGGAATATTAGAGTTTCATATGGACGGATTGAAGATCGAAGGTAAATATTTTTTCTCCTTAAATGTTGTCCCGTTTGAATGGGGGCCTAAGCACCTCATTTTACGCGATCTGCGGTTTGGTTATGTCGGCTTCTGAAATGTTAATAGTATAGGCTGTTTTGTTGTTTGTGGAGTGTCGGATTTCATCCAAGCGTTTGGGGAAAGGATCATCAGGGGTCTTGCATTGTAATCACCCAAAGCGAAGTCGAATCTGATCTACTGCGGAGTGAATGCACGTTGTAATTTGAATGTACTTCGATACCAAGAGTTTCCGGCCTGTTGCACCCTGCTCCTGCACGAGAATGTATCTTGTTTGCTCTGTTTTATTGTACGCATACGCAGGAGCGCATTGAAATTGCAGTTCCTTGCGACTGAATAGTAGGTGGGTAAGCACCAAAGGACTCGGTAGTTGACTCATCATCGTGACTTTCAGTACAGGTCGAATTGCGTGGGACGGTCCTTTTTAAGTCGTCCAGGGTCCTACCATTGTGTATTCTTTTTCCATGGAAATCTGCTCCTGCGTGGTACACGTGGGGAGCACCACTTTGTCCGATCCTGACCTGCCACCACCACCTTTGCATTTTTCTCGGTCTTGATTCCTCGGACCGAGACATTATCGATGGTCATGGAGGAGATATGATTCGGTGGAAAAAAGGGGTCGCCAGCGATTCGGCGTTGTCGGCACGGTTTCCAAGGGAATCTCGACTTAGAAATCCTCGTGGATCACGGGGCCTCTTTTTGTCTGCACTTGGTGTTGACGAAGGAGGCTGCCATCAGCTACAAGTCAAGGCATAGGTTTCCAAGATAATCTTGACGTCAGAAATCCTCGTGAAGCATCTGATGGGGGCCTTTGCCCTTGCTTCGGCGGGGCTTGCGTCGACCGACCACTGAAGAAAGAAGAGCTGGCGTAAGCTTAGTCAAGGCACACTCATGTTGTTGGGTTGAGACCCTTTTTGAGCGGAGTCAACCGCGGAGCCGATCCTATTTTCACGTGCCAACCAAAATTAAGGGAAGAAAAGAGAACGGTCTCATCGTTTATTTGGAGAGAAAAAAATAATTAATGCACAGTGTAGTTAGAAAGAAAGAGAAAAAAGAAATCAACGGGTCAACGTGATCATTTCCTTCTCGGTATGAATTTGTTGTTGGCCTTTGGTTCAATTCATTGGTCGGGTCCTTCTTGAAAACTGAAGTTGCTGGTGGGATGGAATGTATCCGCTACTCCCTTAAACTGCTTTTATCGGGCTAATAGGCGAGAAGTATGATTAATGTCTGGGCTAATACGATCGAGTATCCGGATGAAAAAGGTTGAATGCGATGAGATTAAAACGGAGTAAAAGGTTGAGTATACGTCAAATTTTACCGTGAAATTACTAAGTTGGATGACGCATGGAAATAATTCAGTTGTCATGGCAAAGTCCACGTGGTGGTCCGTAACTCTCTCTCTCTTTCGTTGTTTCTTCAATTAGCCATCATTTGAAAACAATTAGGGCTCATTCTCTCTCCCTCAAAGCACTCTAATATTTTTTTCGTTGAGCACTCTCCTTGATCATCTTCATGATTAAGCATCAAAACTTGTTCGAACACTCTTTTATCTATGGTAATCTTGTTGCCTTCGATTTTCTTTTTCTTGGTTTGTTTGACGAATTCATCCAAATCACCAAATTAGGATGTTTAATGGCTTCAATTGGAAGTGGTTCGAAGAGAAATGCATCATCTTCCAGTTATATCAACAAAGTTAGTCCTCTATTATGCAAGCATGGTCGGCTTGTGATTCTCTAAACTTCGTGGAGACCTAAAAATCATGGGAGGAGATTTCACTGTTGCTCGTTATGGGAGGTGATGGTTATGAGTTAGTGCACTTGACTGGTTGTCTGCAATAGATGAATTATTGATAAGTTAGCGCATTTGATTTGGTGTTATTAATTCACTCCTCTGCTCTCAAGTCTCAGGCAAGTGATTTTCTCATTAAACTCATTTTTATTCATGATTTCTGGTTCTTTGCACCTAGTATTGTTGCTTGCATTTCTTGTCTCATGGGCGTGCATTGCAAATGGGGAAAGAAATGAAATGAATTTTGAAGCTTGAAATAATTCAAGCCATGCTAGAAGTGTTTCATAGAGATGTCTTGTCATGGTAGTACGATCCCATTTGATTCAGTTTTCCCAATGGCCTTTAGGCCTTCAAAGTCTCTTGGGAAAAACACCTCATTAGCCAAAATAAGATGGGGACCTGCATTGGGATTTCAGCATATTCGGAATGCTAATTCCTTCAATTAATGAATTTTGGCCAGTTGCCTACTTTGCCCTCAAAATATCAATAAAAGTTCAATTTTGCTCATCTAAAAAAACAAAACCCTAATCTCTCAGCTTCGCTCAACTATTTGCCTTTCTCGCACTCGATTGTTGCCTCGCTCTTGCTCTCCACTGCTCGCCTCTCTTGCTTGCTTTGCTCTGCTTCGGACCGATCGCATGACTACGGAGGCGTGGTTCCCTCGCTCGACTGCAGTTCCCTCACCCCCCTCTCTCTCTCTCTATCTCTCTGTAGAGTTAAAGAATGTTCTATGGCTTGAAGAATTATATCCTTGCACACCGATTGACCATGGTTGAGGAGTCACGAAGCAAGTACCCAAGCGAGGCACTGCATCTCGTTTAGATTGGAATGTTTGTTTTAAACATTGTTTATAGTACCCATCGAGTTGCCTTCTCTGTTCCGAAATTCTATCTTCGTTCTCTGAAAGCCATGTGCTTTGATATGTGAATTGACGCAGGCATTCTCACTGATGATTGTGTCCTGCATCATGATGCTTCGAATTCGCTACGCCATTCGCTTCTCTTGTCTTTTGTAAACATTTTTGAAGTGGGCTCAGTTATTTGGCTTTGATTGTTGGTGTGAAATATTTTCATGAGTGTGACGTGTTTTTGGAATGTTCTTTACGACTCGGCTATGTTTTTGTAAATAGTTCAGTTAATTATGCATGACCCAAATCTATGTAGTAGTCAGACAATCTTGCCTGTCATGGGTCTCTCCTGTCTGGTCTGGCTAGTAAGAAATTTTCACTTGTTAACAACTACTTCCGCAAGTTTAGTGTTGGCAAATAATTCACATTTTTTCCACAATTATCCCCTTATTGTATGTCATTCTTGTCTTTGGCCAATCATTTGATTTCTAATTCTATGCTTTATTGATCTATGGTAAACCGCTTGTCCCACCTATGGCTTCTACAAATTGTGAATGCTGAAGATTTGACCCATTTAGTTTTAACTTACTTGGTAGGATCATCATCTGTCTAGGCTTGATGGAGACAACATATTTTGTTTTGGAGAAGTCTTCGAGAGTATAGATTGAATCTAATTCGAAGTGCTGTGAAGTTATCCCTGGTGTGCTGACCATTAGTGCTGATCATGTTGTTTTTATTCTGGAGATTTCTGTTAAGATATAGGCTTTCTTGGCCTGCCATTGTTATTTTTTATTTGTAGTTTCATGGTTAATCTCTTTTATTTGTGCCTCTCAAATTTGTTCACGTTACTTAACTAGTTGATGGCAAGTTCATCAAAGGAAAATGCAGTTTGGAGCTCGGAAGATGTAGAAACCTTTTCTAAGTTGTGCATTGAACAAATTGAAAAAGGCAATCGTCCGGCAAACAACAAAAGGGATGGATGGATGGACAGTCATAATTAGCATGTTTGAGGAGCTAATAGGCAAAAAGTATGATAAAAATCAAGGAAGAATGGAAAATATGGAGGTCATTGCTTTAGAATGAAACATGACTAGGATGAGATTCAAGGAAGAAAACCATTGATATGAGTGACGAATGATGGGAGAGTAAAATTCAGATTTTTGTCACTTCTTCTTTTACTTTCGTGTTAGGATCACCTTCAGTGATACAACTTACACAAATGCTTTATTATAACAGGCCAATCCAAAGTTTAAGGCTTTTGGGACGAAAGGCATACATCTTGATCTTGGAGAGAAGTTAGATATGATGTTCGGAGATACAGTTGCTATTGGACGAACCACTTGGAATCCTGCACAAGATTTATGTATTAGTGATGATGTTGAGACCACATGACCTAGTATCGATGTTGGTGCAGGATCTACTGATGACAATTTCGAGTGTCATGTGGATGAAACCATTGGTGAACCAATTGGAACTTAGAGTTGTAAAAAAGCCGTGCAGACTTCAATGAGGCAAGCTCGAGGAAAGAAAGATAAGAAATTGAGCACAAGAGAAGAGCTTGGAACGCAAATTAACAGGCTAGTTGCAACTATTGAAAGTAAGAGTGTCGCCACTACTGCATCTCAATCAACCAATGTTGGCAGTCCTTACAAAGACCTCATAGATATATTGGATACCATACTTGAGATTGTAGAAGACGAAACAATATACTATTTTGCAATCTATCATTTAAAGGAAAAGATAGACAATGGGCTGGTTTTCATGAGCTTAAAGGATGATGCAAAGAAAGTCAAGTATCTCAAGTATGATTTGGGAAGAGAGTCAGGTTTTCATAGATAGGATGTTAGTATCTTATTGTTTTCATGTTTGAAGAGAGTGATGCTACTTTTTTTTTCCTATATGAAGAGAGTAATGCTACTTTGTTTCAGTTGATGGATATTTATTTGCATCCTTGTGAACTCAATTTCTATTAGTGTTTTAATGTGAGAATTGTTTTCAGTTGGTTTTCTCTTTATGTGGTTGAGTTTGCATATATATGATGGTTAATACATTGTTTCTCTTAATGGATGATCAAGATTATTCATTGTTTCTCTTATGCCTCTATATTTTGTTACTTGAAGCATTATGGATGATTCGCGCGCAAAGGAATCGTGATAAGAGGAAAAGGAATGCTGGGATCTTGTCTTAATCACTGGAGTTGCAATTTGTTATCAAGCAACGTACATTTGTAAACAACCTTGCATGATCTTAACATATACAAGTAATGCATGGTTAAAAGAGTTGATGGGCGAAGATGGTAATCTGATAAGGTGCTATAATAAGTTTAGAATGCATAAGGTTGTATTTAATAATTTAACGCACGACTTAGTAACACGATATGATCTTGAAGAATCTAGGAATACTGATGTTGCAAAAATGGTTGGTATGTTTCTTCATATTTTGGGACATGGTATAGGTAATAGGTTAGCACAAGTAGCGCTCTGGGGAAACCATAAGTAGACTCCTTAGCTTAGTTTTAGATAAAGTATGTGATATGAGAAAAGATTTGATCCAACCAACCGATCAACAATATAGGGAAGTTTCAGAGAATATCAAGAAAGACCGACGATTTTATTCATATTTTAAGGATTGCATTTGAGCTATTGATGGTACACATATCCCAGCAGTGATACCTACGTACGATCAAATTCGTTTTATTGGTCGAAAAGGAACGGCGACTCAAAATGTGTTAGCCATATGTAATTTTAATGTGGAATTTGTCTATGTTTGGGCTGGTTGGGAGGAACAAGCTCATGATACTCGTATCTTGAAGTCATTGGAAGACGTGATGCACATTTTCCCCATCCTCCTCCAGGTTTGTTATTTAACCATACGTTCATGTATCTATGTGATAGATGTTGATTAAATTTACAATATATTTGTGTAGGTAAATATTACTTAGTAGATGCTAGATATTCAAATCCCATAAGTTATTTGGGGCCACATAAAGAAGTCAAATATCATTTGCTAGAGTTTCGAGAAGGACCTTTACCTACGGGTTATTGAGAAGTGTTCAATCGTGTCCATTTATTGCTACGCTCAACAATTGAGCGAGCCTTTGGCGTATCAAAAGTGGGGGATTCTAACTCAAATACCAAGTTATCCATATGAAAAGCAAGTGCAAATTGTCATCTCGATAATAGCTTTGCACAATTATAGGTAAAAGGACACTATAAGTGCCATAAGTTGTGTACGGAGGTCACTTTGGTGCCATAACTTTTTTTCAGATCACTTTGGTGCCAACTTTTTTGAAAAACGATCACTTTAGTGCCAATACTGACATGGCTCGCTAGAAATCTGACGTTGGCTCTTTTTTATTAATATCCGATGCTGACGTGGCAGGCCGGAGAGTCCAGTCAGCTCTTATAGCGAAAATGATGCCGTTCAACCTTTCTCCCCCTAATATAAGAACCCTAAATTGGCTAATTGGACATATTCCCCAATTGCAAACCTTAACCGGCCATATTATTTCCCTGTTTTCCTCGAAATTGACAACTGAAGGTTGCAAATGGATGGCAGGAGCTTCACTAGCGGCTCAAATTTGTTTGAA